TGTCTCCCCCCCCCCCCAACCTTCTGGCTTTGATTTGTCACCCCCCACCTCCAGTTTTATTTATTTGTTGTTTTGTTTTGCTTTTCTGAATCTCACTTTGTATCCCAGGCTAGCCCGGATCTCACTTTGTCGTGATCCTCCTGCCTCAGCCTCTGCCACCACTTCCAGCTGAGCCCTTCTCACTCTCTCCTACGACAGGGTTTTGAGAGAAGGAACCACGACCTCTGAGCTGTCAGCTTTTCTGTTGCTAAGAGCCTCTCTCCAGACCCTTCCCTTCAGCACCTCCTCTGACATGCCCTCCCAGCCAAGGATGGCTCCATCAGATTTGCAATCCCCTGTCCTCCCAGCTGGCGGCATCCAACTCAAAGTGAGGAGGTTAAGGTAGTAGTTAAGGACACTATATTCAGGAATCTCTTAATGTCAACATTGGGGAAACTTGCATCAGGGGAGAGAGAGAGAGAGAGAGAGAGAGAGAGAGAGAGAGAGAGAGAGAGAGAGAGAGAGAAAATGATTAGAAACCCAGATGGTCTAGACACTGACTTACTTTGCATTAGCAATGTCTCTGAAATTCAGATCTAAACTTCAAAGGAGAAACAGAGATGGGAAAACACATTAGGGTGGAAGCTAGGGTTATAGTGTGTGGTGAGAAATAATGTCTCACAAAAAACTTTTTATTAAATCTAATATGTCCTGTGAATCTGCTGGAGTGTAGACTTCAAATGTCATCATATTGGATTTGTCAAAAGTGTCTCTTTTTACCTGAAAATGGAAAAGAAAACCCTTACATAAAATATATATTTAGTGTTAGAAGCATGATACTACAGTTTCTTTGAAATTTCACACATAAAGTCAGAAGCAGCAAAATATTAAAAATAGTGTACCAGCCAAGCCTGGTGGTACACACTTGTCAACCAACACTTGGGAGGTGGAGCCAGGAGGTTCACCAGGTCAAGGCCAGCCTAGATTGTATAGAGATATCTCCAAAGTCACCAAAAATAACCATGCAGTTGTGGCACATGCCTTAATCCCAGCAAATGGGAGACAGAGGCAATTGGGTCTCTGAGATTTGGAGGCCAACTTGGTCTACATAGTGAGTTCCAGGACAGCCAAGGTCTACATAAAGAGACCCTACCTCATAAAACAAAAACAGCCCCCAATAACAAGTTTATTATTTTCATTAATGAATAATAAAATATACATTTGATTTGTGTTAGGATTTTTATTGCTGTGAAGAGACACCATGACCACAGCAACTCTTATAAAGGAAACATTTAATTGAGGTGGCTTGCTTACAGTTTCAGAGGTTCCATCCACTATCATCATGATGGGAAGCATGGCAGCATGCAGGCAGATGTGGTGTTGGAGAAGTAACTGAGAGTCCCACATCTTGTAGGCAACACGAAGTTGTCTGGCAATCACACTAAGGGAAGCTTGAGCAAGAGAGACATCAGAGCCCACCCCCAAAGTGACACACTTCCCCCAACAAGGCCACACTTCCTAATATTGCCACTCCCTTTGGGGGGCATTTTCTTTCAAACCACCACATTATCTGTTTTAACTGAGATTTTATTTAGGGTTTCTAAACTGTGAAGAGACACCATGGCCATGGTTGTGGTGATACTTCGTTTGTGCTATAACAAATAAAGCTTACCTGACAATCAGAATATGATGGGCCAAGCAGTGTTTAAAAGAATACAATTTGTGTGTTGTTATTTCAGGTGTCAAGCTAGCCGTGTGGGAGCTGGGCGGGATGAGAAGCAGGCCTGCCCGCAGCTCCTTACTACAGTGTATGAAAAGATTATTCCACAACATTTGTTCCTTTTTGTCTAAATAAAAAAAAGAAATGTTTTAACTCTCACACAGTAAAACCATATACAATAAGGACAATTACCAGGTATTCTCTAAATACAAAAGGAAGATTTTGACTCAGACTTAGTAAAACTATGTGCAATAAGAACAATTATCAGGTAAGAAATATATTCACAATGTTCAGTTCATTTGCATTTGGCAAATCCAGAGAAAATACACCATTATCTATCCTATCTTGGTGAGTCTAAAGCTTTATATCTAATTTTCTTTCTATCATAACTAGGGAAACCATAACTATAACTGTCTAATCTTAAATTCCATAAGAGACCTGAGAAGGGTATATTACCTGAGTAAACATGAAGTACGGAGTAAGCGACCTTCAAGACTAAAGAAATGACAGAGACATCTGGGTGTCTGGAAAGTCATTCCAAGGTTCCTCTGTAACACTGGAGCATCAGTCTCTGGCTTACAGGCCTAGGATATCTGACAAACTTTACTGTGAACCAGGAATTTTTGAAGGACTGTCCTATTATGTCTTGGTAAAGTTTGACAGTTGTTTTCTTTTGTGTTCTGCTTCCCAATTTGGACAGAATTCTGTCAGCAGTTAAGGTAAAGGAAGTTTCTTGCCCAAATGGCTAGCTTTTGCCATAAAAAAGCAAACTCCATAGGGAGGTTCTTTGATGCCCATCATTTTCTTTAAAGTAGATTGGTGCTGCCACAGGCAGATGTGTCTCGTTGTCATGAAAGCCTTGTTACTGAAACATCTTAAATGCCATATTCTGCGGGTCTCTGAAGTGTTTGAAGACCACCTATTTATTTAAAATATATCTCTGTTTGACCTCGAAAACATACCTAACATGACTATAAGTTTGATTGTTATAGATGACTCACTACTAATCTGTCTTTCTTTATTATCCTAAATAGCTTTCAAGAACTAAAATGTTGTATTACATTTTCAAATGAGCTGCATAGGTGCAATAGCTTAAATAAGAGTAGAAACATATACAATATAACAAAAATAACCTTAAATTTGTGTCTATATATAAAAATTTATACCAATGTAAAATAGTTGAGACTAATGGTTGTTCAAAAGTAGACTCAATAATACACCTTTTTATTCCATCATTTCTATACTGTATCCCTCTTTTTCCCTTCAGAAAAAGATCCCTGAATCTAATCTCCTTTGTTTAGCTTTCTTCCTGACCATGATGAATAACAGTTTGTAACCAATTCTGCTAAATGCTGACAGACATCCATAACTCATCAAATGACCCAAACTATGCACTCAACCTCTTGGGAATGTGAGTGTCATGTTTTCTCAGCTACCTTCTGTTGTCTAGAGGTGATGACATCTTTAGGTAGAACATAAGACTCTTAATCTCAGGGCCTTGGGTTCAATCTCCACATTGGATGCCAATTGTTACATGAGATCTAATTGGTCTTAATAATAAAGACCCAGAGCCAGATATTGGGGCAAATGCTGAAAGATCAGAGAGAGAAGGGAGCAAGCCACACAGCCATCTTTTACCTTGCTAATTCCTCAGCCACATTAGGGAACCTGAAAAAATTAAGATAATTGTCAAGTCCTGGGAGAGTTAGCTGTATCATTAGTTGTTCAGTCTCTGTGCAATGGGGAAGTTCAAGGCTTACCTGCAGTTCTGGCTGAAGTAGTCTGTGAGACTGAACCATCTCAGCACCCTTGAAGCTGTTCTGGATGCAGAACTCTGAGGAAACTACAACAGAGGCATTCTGAGAGACTGGATCACCTGGACCATCCATCTTCATTGTTGTCTGGTCCCCTTGTTCTGAAACCACACAACATTCAAAGGTAACATACATATCTGTATTAACAAAATTATAGATCATGCATTGTACATAAGCCAGCCAAAAATGATTTCTTTGTTTTATGTTGAACAGGTAAAATATATGTCACCTGTATTGCAGGTTTATCTCTTTATGTCTGTAGCCAGGATTTTCAAGGGTCTCCCTGGTCAAACCTGATCTCTATCAACCTTGAAGGAATCCACAGCCTTTTGTTTTCTGTGTAAACAAAAGCATAACCTCTTCCCCAAAGCAATACATATTCTGACTTCCATTTTAAGGTTAAGGCATTCTTAAAGTATCTAGGCTGCTTAATTCAGCAGTTCCCCTGCAATCTCATGTCTCTTAGTAGCTGTTATTCACTCATTAGCAATCAAAAAATTAAAAGTCAACAAGGCCCCATACAAAATCCATCTTTATGTGACTTACCATTTTAATACTATTTTAGTCTCTCTTTAAAGGTTTTATTATTTCTAAATTATTTTCAATATTTATAAACTATTTTTTCTATGACTGTCTATACCCATTTTATTTTTAAAGCCTACACACATTTTTTTAAATACATTGTACCTATTTAGAGGTATTTTTCATCTGGGTTTGTTTTTCTTGAGTACCTGCAGTGTTCTCTGATCACATGAGACAAATCTTAAACTGTTATGTCAACCACCATGTGACTCAGTTTAGCACATGGTGCTGGTGCATAGCACGGGCAGATAGTACTGGTAGCTGACTCCAGCCCAAAGGGAGCTGCTGGTAGCTGTGCCTGTGTATGCTGCTGAGCATCAGCCCACCTGAGAGACTGTAGGACTAGAAAGGCACATCCAGCTTCTTGTCCAGAATTTTCTTTGGTTTTTCAGACCTTATGTGGATATATGTGGTTAGATATTGGGCAGGTGCCATGTGTAGTAGGTTTTTTTGGATCACCAGCCCCCAAATTATGACACATTATTGTTTATTAATTATGAAAGCTTGGTCATAGCTTAGGCTTGCTTCTAACTAGTTCTTATAACTTAACCCATTTTTATTTGTCTATGTGCTGCTGCATGGCTCATGGCTTTTACCGCTCCTCTTGCATGTCTTGCTCCCTCTGTGTCTTGTTGGTAACTATTTTTCTCCCCTGAGACCTCTCTGTCCCCAGAAGTCCTGCCTAACCTCTTCCTGCCTAGCTATTGGTCATTTATCTCTTTATTAAACTAACAGCAGGGACACATCTTTACACAGTTTAAAGGAATGTTGCACAATATTTTCCCCTCTTTCTCTAAATAAAAAGGAATCTCAAACATAATATAACTATGGGTGCCAGATGTAGCAGATTTTTTTCTGTCCTGCCGACTCCCAAATAATGACATGGAGTCTTTTTTTTTTTTTTTTTTATAAGTAAACGCCATTTTATTTAGTAAAGATCTTCCCACACTTCCAAGGCCATTTGCATATGGCGGAGCACCCGGATGACAGAGTGCAGAAGCGCGTCACCGGCGCCTCCGGAAACCTTTCTTCTTCCGGCCTTTCTTCGGCATCTTCTTGCGCTTTTTAGCAGGACCCTGGCTCTCGTCAAGATGGGGAGCCCCCTCTGTCAAAGCACTGATGTCGCTGAAGTGTGTGAGGGAGTGAAGCTGCGTGCTCATAACACTCGCTCGCTTTCGCCGTCCTTTCTCGCGCTTGCTCACACTTAAACGCACCATCATGCTCTCTTCATAGTTAATCCTGTGCTGATCCTCCTGACTCTGGCGAGTGGCATGGGGATGCCGGGAGTCTCGGATTTCCTCTGGGGCGTCTGAGTACTGCTCCTTCAGCTTGCGGATCACAGAGCTGCTCAGCGCTCGCCGCTTCGCCCGGTCCAGGCGCTTTTGCTCACGCTCTGCTTCGGTTTCATCATAATGCACTGGGACCAGGCGCGGTGGGACATATTTCTTGGAGGAGCCCTTCACAGACTTCTTCCCCGAAGCCTCGGACTCCTCTTCTGCGCCATCGTCCTCTTCATCCTCAGAGCCCAACTTGCTTATCATATTGCTGGGATGGGGCTTAAATCGAAGTGGGTCACTTTCACTGAGGCTGCCTGTCACCGCAGTCTTGACCAGTTTGTCAATCTGATACTTCAGTTTTTGGTCCAAGGGGCGAAGTTTTTCTAAAACCGTGCGGATTTCCACCAGCCTCAAAACTGTGGGATGTCCCTGCAGAGATCCTCCCGAGGCTTTGTCCAGGATGAGGTGGCTCAGGTCCATTAGGTACATGAGCAGCAGCTGGTCTTTCACTTCCAAGAAGCTCAGACCCTTCTCTGTAGAATATGCTCCAGTTTGGACTTTTTTTGTCAGGGCTTGTACCTGCGCTGTTACAGCCATTACCTGCTCCTGGAGGTTTTTCAAAAGTGTCACCGAACTCGAGACGTCTGACTCCAGCACTTCCGGGGCCGCCATCTTCGCAGAGCCCACCCTTTCCGGGGCCGAACTTCCTGGGTGCTCTGACATGGAGTCTTATCAAAGTATCTCCATGTTGATTTCATGCTTTGTTTCTTACCATTTTTTTCTAGTTTAACTAGTGCTTGCTCTCATGAGTAGCTCCATTACCCCCATAGGGGCACTCTTTTATTTTTCTTGTGAAGTTGCATTTATGGGGATATGATTATGCAATGGGTGGTAAATATGTTCTCAGGCAAATATATAAACAATGCATTTATGCTTCGGCAAATTTCAATTTCCAAAGACAAGTTAGCAGGTCATATCTATACATATTTCACTATCATCATATGGTAGTATTGTCATGTTTCCTTGACAAATAGAAAGTTTGGGATGCTAACTGTGAGCTTTAGAAAGCCCACCCCTTCTACGCCTAGCATACTAGTTAGGTTGTCCTTAGTTGCAGATAGTTAAATAGACTTAAACATTCAAGAGGATTCCTCGGGTCCTGTAAAGTGGAGAGGTGGTGGTATGGGTCTCAGACATTGCTTCCCAAGGTGCCACCTCTGTTTTTCAACTCCTCTGTCACCTTTGTGCTGTGACTACATCCTCAGTTGGTGTTTCTTCCTGATTGCAAGATGGTTGCCAACAGCGAGCCAGCCTTCCAGCCTTGCTACTTTCTTTCTTCAAGTTACTGCCCAGAAGGAGGAAAAGCCACCCTTCTTACAATGGTGAGAAGATCTGAGAGCTGTTCTCTGATTGGATCACTCCAAACTAATTTGGATACACCTGCTTGTGAGCCAATCATAGTGGAAAAGAATGATGTCATTCAAATTGGTTTAAACCCATAACCCCCTGGGGTCAAAGGTGGAGTCACAGCACAGGCTACTTCAGATGGAGGGTGGCTGGGGAGGAGCATGTCCTCAGGTGTCCTGGAGTGGGTACTGTTTTGACTTAGTGGTTGAGAATATAGAGTCAAACAAACTTGGGTTTGAATCTTGATCTCAGCCAGTTTACCACCAAGAGGTGATTGATTATGTCAACCTCAGCAAATGATAAGAAACAAAGTTTTTGCTCCATGTTTATAATATAATTGAGGGAGAGACTTGTGTGTATATTAAAACTTATTTTATTTCTTTGTTTATTTATTATTCATACAGTGCTCCCCCTGCATGTATACCTGCAGGCCAGAAGAGGGCACCAGATTTCATTATAGATGGCTGTGAGCCACCATGGGGTTGCTGGGAATTGAACTCATAAGCAGTCAGTGCACTTAACCTCCGAGCCCTAAAACTTACTATTTTTTTAATTAGAAACTTTTTTTTACATCTATTTGCTGTTGTCAGGGGGTGGGGTGTTCACATGCCATGTGTGCCTATGGAGGACAGAAGACAAATTGCAGAAGTCAGTCTCTCTCCATCTCACAGGTTCCAGAGATCAAACTCAGACCATCAGCCTTGCCAGGAAGCATTTTGCCTGCTGAGCCATCTTATCAGCCAGCTTTCCTATATTACCATCTACCTGGCATATTCTTTAGGAAATGGGTATCTGATGAATGGACTGGCAGTTATCATTTGTCCCTAGCATGGGGACACAGGAGGGCACTGCTGACAAACTAAAGCTTTCTTATTTTATTGCACTATTTGGGGTTGAACCAGGACCTTGATTGTGCCAGACAAGCACCCACTCACCACTGAGCTTCATCTTCTGGCCCCAAAACGTCCATTCCCCTCAGGTAATAGGGCTCTCCTGCTGTTACCGAGTGAAGGGTCTTTCACGGTTCTCTGTTCCTGAAATTTCTAGAAAAGATGGTTCCAGGGAGGGCCACTCGATGCGGGAGAAATAGTTCAATGACACTTACTTAATGCGGCTGCAATGAGGGGTGGATGTGTTGACAAATGTGGAGGGCTTGGGGCAGGGTCTGTCACATGGAAGGGCCACGTGTTAGTGTCGTTACAGAGGGCATTGAGCCTGCAGCCAGCTCTTGTGAGTTCATATCTCAGACCTGCCACTTCCCTGCTGTGCGCCTTTGTGCAAATCTCTGAAAGACCTTGTGCTTCAATATTTATTTATTTTTGGTGGTTTGAGGTGAGGACTTACTATGTAGCCCTGGCTGGCCTGATACTCTCTATTTAGCCCAGGCTAGCTATAGATTCTTGGGGGGATTCATGAGGATGGGAACCCTCAGCCTCTCAGGGGCTGGAATTATAAGTGTGTGCCACCATGCTGAACTTACATGCTTTGGTTTTTTTGTTTTGATTTGGGAGGGTGGTGGTGTACATACGTGTGTGAATGCATGTACGCGTGTGCATGTGTGTGTATAATGTGCTCTTGCACATAAAAACTGGGGTCAGAGGGTGATGTCTGTGTCCTGCTCTGTCACGTTCTACCTTATTACTGTGAGACAGTCTCTAGCTGATTGGAGCTCACCATTCTTTGGCTAGGCTGCTTGCCTAGTGTACTGCTTCAAACCTCCTGCCTCTGCCTCTCACAGTATCAGAGGCACATGTGGCTGTACCCGGTCTTTATGTGGGTCCTGGAGATTCTAACTGAGGCTGGTGCAGCAAACTCTCTTGTGTCGGAGGCATTTCTCCAACCTGTACCTCAGTCTTTAAAATCCTTAAGATGGAGACAAAAACAATAGGATCTTTCTCAGGGCTGAGCAAAGGGGATGAACGGAGATGAAGATTGTGTGTAATTGGTGCTTGCTTATCCTACAGTAAACCTTGTACGTCTTTAAAATTTTTTTCTTACTCCTGACATTTTTGTGAGGATAGCCATCTTCCCAGTGTCCCGGAATTAGCAGGCCTCTGATAATTGAGACAAAGAGATCTAGTGGGTCAGACTCAGGAGCAAAAAGGCTAGGTACCCCCCTGCTTGCTTCGGGTTCCCAAGACAGGGTCTGAATTGTTAAGAGGTGAGCCCCTGTGTGTCAGTCTAACACTTAGACAGTCTCTCTCCCCTCTAAGCATGCTTTTGGCCGAGTCCTAGAAAAGCTTCTCACAGTCAGGGCTGCTTTCAGACTCCCAGCCTGGAGACTATGGCAGGACTTCCTGTTTCCTCCAGGGAAAGGGACTGGGAGCCAGCCAAGTCCTAATGCAGTGTCCTTTGAAGGCGTGCCCAGCTTCCCTGTTTTAAATGCAATATGCTTATTGCTGGTCTGATTTTTATTGGGAAAAAGCAGCGGTGTACTTTCTAGGTCCCTGGGGTCTGAATTAAAATAAAGGAAGTACTTTAAAAAATCAAATCCAAATAGCGGGCCTTGGAAGCACGCTGTTAAGTGAGGGTATCACAGACCTCAGAGGCTGCTTCCATACCGGCTCCTGAGACAAAGCCTCATGGTAATTGCATTTGGAGGTCCCAGAGGCATTGGTAATGGAGGCAAGATTGTCTCCAAGTCCTGTTTGCATAAGAAAGCAGATAAATTGCAAAAGCTGCAGCTTGCTGAGAACCTACTAAGTGCCAGGTCTTGGACCCCATGATAAACCGCTGAGGCAGATGTGATCTTCATTTATAGAGGAGCAGACCACGCCTATGGCTACCCAGGTAACAAGCGGCAGAGTGGAGATTTTGCTTCCAAGTTGTTCTTGTATCCAAATCTGTATGCTTACCTTTCTGCTAGAATTTTTAAGACTGCTGGCCGAGACACAGGAGTGAGACTTGAAATCAGTATAGTGAATGACAACCAGTCTTTCGTAAAAAGAAACAGAATAGGAACAGAATAGGAAAAGTGTCTGTCTCACCTGGAGAGAGAAACCTAGTTGTTCATGAAATGCGTGTATGTGTGTGTGTGTGTACATGTTTGTGTGTGTGTTTGCCTGGGTGTGTGAGTATATGCATTTGTGTGTGTGTGTGCATGTGTGGATGTGCATGCATGCGTGTATGTGTATGTGTGTGTCTGTGTGTGATCCTATGTACTGACTTATAACTTAATATGTATTTCTTACTGAGTCACAGTCAAAACATATAGAAGGGCCGGGTGATGGCTCAGGCTGTAAAGTGTTTACCATGCAGTCATGAGGACCTGAGTTCGATCCTCGGAACCCATGAAAAGCTGGGCTTCCTGGTACACGCTTTGATCCTAGCCTTAGACGGATCCTTGGGGTTCACTGGCCAATTTGCCCAACTCAGTGAGTTTCTGGCCAAGGGGAGACCCTGTCTCAAAAAATAAGGTAAATTGTACAGGAAGAATGACACCTAAGGCTGTTCTCTGGCCTTCACACACATGTACATACATGTAAACTCATACCTTCACATGCACCTGTATACACACACACCCACACACATACACACACACAACAGGAACACATACGAACACTCACATGTATATGCACATCCAGGCATCTGCACACGGAAAATATGTGAAAGTCATTGTTCTAGGAGACATGACTTCCCAGCTAACAAGACCTAACATTTACTGAGACGTTGCTGTGTATTTAGAATGATTCGGATACACGGATTGAATCAATTATTATAATAACATTATGATAAAGTATTAGCATCATCTCTGCTTATAGAGAGACTGCTAAGGAACAGAGAGCTTGAATAATTTGCCTTCAGAGTTTAGCAGCAAACCTTGAATTTGAACCTGAACTGCCTGCTGTAACACTTGAATATTTAATTTTTTTTTTCACCAGTGTTTTTTGCTTAAGTGATCAGGAGGCCTCTGGTTCACAAGAACCATACAGGCAAATCGACAGGTCTGGAGTGGCCTGGCCCCCATCAAGCGAGGTCCTCTGGGGCCAGCTGACTTTTCTGTCGTTCACCTTTCATTAGCACGGCTGCCTGGTAGACTTCGGTAGCTCCGAATCTCTCTCATCTTCCCCTATTTTAAATTAATTAACCTCCTAATTATTTAGACATTCATTCACCAACTCGTGTGCAATTCAAATCTATTACACTTCAGGGGATGTGTCTGTGTCGTGTGTACTCGGCTGCGTCTCACGTGGTCAGGAGAGAAGAGTGTGCACGGGGTGGGGGAGATTTGTAGAATCAATTTTTTAAAATTCCAATGCATTTCTGAGGCATCTGAAGTGTTGACGAGATAGCTGAGGTTCTT